GGGCCCGTAGAGCCCGTAGAGCCCGTAGGGCCCGTAGGGCCCGTAGAGCGCGCAGGGCCCGTAAAGGCCCGCAGAGGGCCCGTAGAGGCCCGCAGAGGGCCCGGGCCGGATATGGTACTCTTCTCTGGCAGTTGTGGGCTGAGGGTTGGGTACCACCGATACATGTGCCAAGCACCGGGCGGTCAACGAGGAATGTCAACTCGCACAAACCAGAAGCCTTTGAAGCACCTCTCACCGTAAGACTCTCACCGTTGCAACTCATCATCGTCAGCCTCTCAAATGCTTCAATTAGCGGTGTAACGTTGCTTTCATGCTAAACGATGATTACTTCGCAAAAGCAAAGAACTTCACACACGCAAGCCTAAATGCCCGGGCCCGGCTAGAGAACTTGGCAACGTCCGACAATGGCCTGTTGCAAGAACACTGTCTTGAGCTATGCTCAATCCTACTGATAGTGTCCTTGCTAGTGGTGGACACGATACTCGGTATAGGTATCATGTTCAGCCCCTATTCGGGTCGTTGTCAAGTAACCTTCTCGTTTTGGGTGTATTAATTCGCGACATTGGCTGTGCTTCATATAGACCCTCCCAGGGCGGGAAGTGCAGGTGTAGCCGAGCATTCTTCAAGTAGAGCTCAAGGGATTTTGTCGCCATGAGGGTTCAGGGTTTGTTGCTCGAAGTGTTTCCGAGTCCAGAGAGGTTTCTCGTAGGCCTCAAAGCTATCATGTCCGCAACCCCAAACCTGCAAACGCTAAAGCATAAGCCGGTTTCGGGCCCTAGACTTTCAGCGGTTTCTGGGTGGATTGAAGGGTTTGTTTCAGAGAGGGCGAGGGGAGAAGTTGGGTGCGAGAGACTTCCTCCAAGCGCTGAACATCTGGTGGATCTATAGATCCCCTTATGCCTATAGATCCAGGGTATTGCCCTTTTATTATATATCATATATCCCAATGGATCGCTTATACATCCCTTAATCAGAAATCCCAGACAACGAGTCCCCCCGCCACAATTTGCACTCAAGAACAACCGTATGAAGCTGTACTTGCAACCAGAGATGTTGCGTCTGAGTTACGAAGCCACTAAGTTATGATGCGTAGGTAGGCTCATGTGACTCTAAACCCTAAGCCCTAATAACTAGATCTATACTCTAAGCCGTACACACTTCTCACCCGAAAGCCGGCAGCTTGTCTTCCAGAAAGTCTAAACCCTAAAACCCTTAACGGTGCTCATGCTGGGTTTAATATAGGGGCCCAAATAATTACCTACACTATTTTGGGGGTTCCTTATTCTAGTTCTTCTATCAAGGACCCCAAAATAAACCCAAAACCCTAAACCCTAAACCCTAAACCCTAAACCAAAAACCCCCCTACATTAGGGTTTAGGGTTCCGGCCACCTTGAAGACCTCAAGTCCTGACTACAGCCGAAAGCCCTGCGCCCAGCCCAGCCCAGCCCAGCCCAAATTCAAAACATGGTTCCAAAAGTCAAAACTTTCCGTCAAAACTCGGTCAAAACTCGGCCAATTATTGGCACCCAAACCCTTAACAATTTCTATAAACCCTAAACCCTAAACCCTAAACCCCGAACCTTGGGCTTAAGGCGCACCATCTTCCCCGTCGACTTGTCCAAGATGTTCGAGCCGGAGAAGAGGCGCCAACAAAGCCCAAAATGGGAGCTTCCGAGAATTAGGGTTTAGGGTTTAGGGTTTAGGGTTTAGGCCTTATTTTGGGGTCCTTTTTATAAGGATCCTACTGTTTAGGGTACTAGAGTAGGGTCCCCTATTTTCGGAAACTCAGAAATGTGGTGAACTGCTAGGTTGTAGGGGTTTAGGTACGGTTTAGGGTTTAGGGTTTAGGGTTTAGGGTTTAGGGTTTAGGGTTTAGGGGTTAGGGGTTAGGGGTTAGGTGTTGGGGTTGGGGGAGGGGGGTAGGTTTTAGGGGTTCAGGGGTTTTGGGGGTTAGGGGTTTAGGGGTTTAGGGGTTTAGGGTATAGGGTTTGGGGTTTGGGTATAGAGTTTAGGGTGTGGGTGTAGGGTCTGGGGTATAAGATTGTGGATTCGGGGTATGTCGTGGGCTGCTGCGGACACGAACTCGGATTTCCCAAACCTTACATGTTGCAGGTCTTTCCCATAGATTCAAGCAGCCCCCAGCGCCACTTAAAGGTACGTGTCCATGAAACCCCTAAGAGGGAAACCTGAAAGCTCTTGAGGCCCTAAACCTCCCCCCGAACCCAAAGCCCCGAAAGCCCTGAAGCCTGAATCCCTACAGCTTTGAAGCTCATTACTGTACCTTAACCCCCAATGAACATTGGGGGTCCAGGTAGCCATTAGAGTCCTACAGCCCTTCACAGGATTTACGGTGCCGTCTTTAATCCGAGGGTTTGGGTGTTGGGATTGAGGGCGCGAGGTTCCCTAAACCCGAAGCCCTAAACCCTAAACCCTAAACCCTAAACCCGAAGCCCTAAACTCTAAACCCTAAACCCCAAAATCGTAAACCCCAAAATCCTAAACCCTAAACCCTAAACCCGAAGCCCTAAACTCTAAACCCTAAACCCCAAAATCTTAAACCCCAAAATCCTAAACCCCAAATCCTAAACCCCAAAATCCTGAACCCCAAAATCCTGAACCCCAA